AACGGGCAGGTGAGCATGCCATGGGAAGAAAGACAGTAAGCAGAGCTCCTCCACAGTCTCTGCTTCAGTTCTTGCCTTCAGATCTCTGCTTGATCTCCAGCCATGGTTCCCTCAATGGTGGGTGTGAGTTGTAAGCCAAATAAACCTACTCTTCCTCCAAGTAGTTTTGGCCTTGGAGTTTTATCACAGCAATAGAGAACCAAAGTAGGGCATAAGAGCTGTCAAATCCGTGGTGTTGAATGCTAGAGGCCCAAGGACTGCAAGTGCTGGTTGTCTACCCACACAAACCTTGTATTTATCCATATTATTAAAATGACAATAATAGAAATGAAAGCAACTTTGTTTTTTAAAAAAGGAACTCAAGAATGAGGTCATTGAACATTTTAAATATAAATGCATAAGTACATTTTGAATATACATATCATGTATTTTGTGATAACTATCAGGTAAATAGCTAAAACCATCTGTCCACAATTCTGGTCTCAGAGATAATTTCAAAGAAGATGCTTCATAGCAGGTTCCTTTTAAGAACAACTGTGATCCTTTGAGAAAATCACTTTGGCCTTTTTATCAGAGACTTATGTTGGCCTTTTATTGATAAACTATCTGTTATCTGTACCCTTGCAGTATAGATTATGCTTATTTATTTTAGAAATGTTTCTGAGCTGGTGGTGGTGTTGTACATCTTTAATCCCAGCACTTGGGAGGCAGAGGCAGGCTGATCTCTGTGAGTTAGAGGCCAGCCTGGTCTACAGAGCAAATTCCAGGACAGCCAGGAATGTTACACAGAGAAACCCTGTCTCAAAAAAAACAAAACCCAAAAAACAAAAAATACTCGATTAATTTTTTATTTTTATTTTATGTGTATGAGGGTTTGGCCTGTTTACATGCCTATAGTGCCACGGAGGCCAGAGGAAGCACTAGATCCTCTGGAGCTGGGGTTAGACAGTTGTAAGTCACCATATGGGTGCTTGGAATTTAACTCAAGTCCTTTGGAAGAGCAGCCAGTGCTCTTGACCTTGCAGTGATCTTCCTACGCTAGCCTTCTGATACTAGGATTACAGACATGTACCTCTGTGCCTGGCTTTACAGGGTTGGTTTTGAAGATCCAGAGCAGACCTAGAAAGAGGATACAAGAAATGCCCCCCACTTTCCTGAGTTTGAGCTCCTGGGGGTTGAGGCCAGTGCTCTGAGAGTTCAGACTGCTTCAAGGAAGCAACAGGATGGGAAGTAGTGCTGCACACTGGCCTGTGGCTCTGTGAACAGCACTGTGATGGAGCAGGTTCTAGAGTACCAGAGCCACTGTTGAAGATTGCCACAACCAACCTTTACTCCCTAATCCTCACCTCGCAGGTCCTGCTTAACCAGCTTAAAATATAACAAATCTAGTGACTACATTAAGTAACTTTAGCACCATCTTAACTGCTTTGCCTTGAATATTTGTATAATATACCCTCTCCTTTTTAAAAATATAATTTTTCAGAGACTGCAGACAGAGTGGGATTGTAACAAAGGTGTTCCAGGTAGACTATGAACCACCGAAGATGGTCTCTCCTGAAGACAGTGTTGATGATGCCCTCAAAGGCTTTTCAAAGCAGGCAAGTAATGAAACCAAAGAATGTACAGATTATCACATGTGTCATCCTTTCTTGCTCAATGGGCACGTGCTCCCTTTCATTACAACACTCTACTCACACTCAGATCTTATGATTAAGGTCAGGATCGGCTTCACTGATTTCCCAGCCTTGGTCAAGCCTTCCTTTGCCTAAGATCAGAATTCAGACTGGGCTCTGTTGTCTGCAGTGACTACCTGTGATAAAGCAGAAACCATTAGCATGCCACCAATGGAATCAGCTTTCAGTGCTTTGTCTATGAATGCTGCATAAACCCCAGATAAACAGGCTGTTTGCCCTCTTCTCTACTCCTGCACCAGGCCTTCGCTGGGGAAAAGTGACCTGAGCATGTGATTTCTTGGTCAAGCTCCAAGATGGCAGTAGGCAGGCCTACCATACTTTTAGCAGAGCTTAGGGGCTGGCAAGGGAGAGCAGAGTATATATTCGGTAAATGGAATAGTCAGGCTACTGGACCGTTCCAGTGTATGTTGACTTCTATTAGTTAGTCTTCACCCACCAAACACTGCAATTCTTTACTTCTTTGGAGAGTTAATCTGATTGACCTAAGAAGGATGTTTGAAACTTCAGCCCTGAGTTGTCAGCACCAGTGATCCATGTATTAGGACCAGAGAGTGGCCACCCAGCCAGGAAATCTCAGTCATGGGGTACTTGTTGAGGGTGACAGAGAACGTTTGTGGGGGTGATACTTAAGCCAGATGGTGTCCCTGAGACCAGAGCACATGTTGTGACACCAGAGTAGATGCAAGTGGTCTGTAGTGTGACCACCAAGGGGACAGTCATCAGACTCTCCGGTCTGAATCAGAGAGAAGGGACGGAGTCCAATTAAAAGAAAGGCCAAGGAGAAGAGGGTTTAGAGGGCTGTCTGGGCAGGTAGTGTGCACAAGCCTGTCGTTTTTTTGGTCTGACCCCACCCTATTTCTCCCTCTGATTCTGTTCTTATGCTATTACTGTCTCTGATAATGGCACTATCCATATCTGTCATCTTGGCTGCTTGACTTGGTGAGGCCTACCAGCCAGACATGCTGCTCACCAAGTAGCCCAGACACAAAGCTGTGGGTTTCTAATGGAACCAGACGTCACTTTATAAAAATTGCTATAATCCCTTTCAAGTAAGAGATGTCCACCCCATGACACTGTCTCTACCATGACTTCTAATTCTCACACTCTAAGTCTAGATAACCGAATGCCATGTAATCTCTTCATTCCTAGGAATTAAAAAATGGGTTTGTCGGACCAAAATTAAGGAAGAAGTATAAGAATGCTGAAAATAAATCAACTTGGAACGTTAACATTAGACGACTTGCAGGTACGGCGAGGTAGCCTCTAAGCAGGCGTCCTGCATGCTCACTGCATACTTTAGGTACTTGTGTTGAAATAAGAAAAAACGGGAAGGCAGTCTACAGTTTGAATATTTTATTCTAGCTAACAGATTAAAACCATGAGAGATAAGCAAGCAGTCTGATAAATTTGATTTATTGAATGATTGCATTGAAGGACCATGGGGTGCCTCACCAAACAAAGAGTCATCAGGTTTTAGGGGGTGGGTAGTATTTGGGTAAATCTTAAACAAAAACAGAGTTTTGCTAGAATTGAGTAAAACTGAGCTGTATGAGAAGGGCCAGCATCAGATGTGGATTCAGGTTTGGTTACTTTGGAAACGACAAAGGTGCATTAGGATGTGTTCAGCATGTGGTTAGAAAATGAGCCTGCTGTTTTATGTCTTGGGAACCAGAAACGTAGCTTAGCAGGTAAAAGCATTTGCCATGCAAGTATGTCCTCATGGTTAGAAACATCCAGTAAAGGACTTCATCACATTCTTTCCCAGCAGCAACTACTATAAAGTCTCCCCCCGCCACCATGTCAGCGAAATAGAACTGAGAAAGAAATAATCAACTCAGTCTAAGAAAACAACCTCCCTTGATACTCTGTACAACATTCCCTGTCAAGCTAAGAAAACGGACCAGTCCAATTGCACAGTTAGCAGGCAGCATCCTTTCAACTAAAAAGAAAATCTGTGACAGCAACAGTGTTGCTGTTTCTGTGTGGTGCATGTATGCCACAGAGGACAACTTTTGGGAGTCAGTTGTTTTATTACACATGCGTTCCCAGGACCAAACTCAGGCCATTGGAGGTTTTGTTTATTTGTTTTCTAAAACAGCAACAAAGTGACTGGGTCTTCTAGTTACATAACTTCAGACAGCAAAGTTTCTAGATTCATGGGTAAGTAAGCAAGAGGCTGTCACACATTAGTTGAAAGGATGCTGCCTGCTAACTGTGCAATTGGACTGGTCCGTTTTCTTAGCTTGACAGGGAATGTTTTAGAGGTATCAAGGAAGGCTGTTTTCTTAGACTGGGTTAATTATTTCTTTCTCAGTTCTATTTCTCTGACTTTGGGAAGATGACTTTATAGAAGTTGCTTCTGGGAAGGGCATATTTGCATGGTTTTATATGTTAACAATTCATCACAAATGCAATATTTTTAATATAATTATAGACCTCAAGGTAAGCGAAAGAGCAGACTCTAAAACTCTGAAAGATCTTCGTTTCTCAGAGAGTCCAATGGAAATCCCAGCCTACCATGAAGGATCGGGTTCTAGAATTGCTGCTCACCCGTCCCAGGTAACATCAGCGGAAATTCTTTAAAGTAGCCAAAATACCTCAGGCATTTTAATGCTTCCCAGCATACATTAGGACAGCATCTTTCAGCCTTTATCCATGTTGCAGGCAGTGTCTCAGCTCCGGAAATACTGTGTTCGAAGGGAAAAGCCTCCATGTCCATATAGCTGCCCTTTGATAGGGACTTGAAATAGATAAATGACAATCAAGTAAATAGTCACACAAATGTTTGGGGGTTTTGTTTGTTTTGTTTTTGTTTTTGTTTTTGAAAATAGGGTCTCTCTGTGTAACACTAGCTGCCCTGGAACTTGCTCTGTAGAACAGGCTGTCCTCGAACTCAGAGATCCACTTGAGTTCCGGGCTTGAGTTCCGGGCTTAAAGGCATATGCCACCCTGTTACACACAAAGAAACCCTCTCTCAAAAAAGAAAAAAATAAAATAAAAAAGGCATGCACCACCACCACCAGGCTTCCCTATGATAGTGTTTTTGTTTTACAATACTTTGGGGTGTGCCCCACAGGAATAAAAAACACTGGAAAGGGGCAACCCCCTCACCCCCAGGAGTGGCCCAGGGGGAGAATGGCTACCTGAGGGGAAGGAAACACAAAAGAAACCGGCTGCAGACTCAGGGCAAAGGGAATGCCATCGGTGCTGGGACCTGTGAGCACTACAGGAAGAAACTGGAGCATGGTAGGACTGACTCCAGGCACACAGGCACAGAGCAAGAGGGTTGGACATGAAGCCACAAAGCTACTTGGGTTCCTCCTTCTTCTCATTTGCCTTTTTCTGCTTCTGCTGCATTGTCTCTGAGACCCTCTGCTTGCAGGCTGCAGCAGAAAGCCCATCATCTTGGCACTTTCCCTTAATGGAGTCAATCTGCTTCTTCATGTTCTGGTGGGCAAGCTCTCTCTGGTTACCCTGGGTGGTGGCTAGGGCATTGGCTTCAACCTGCCTCTGTTGCATACCCTCATTCAGGTCGAGGTTGCAGCCTTCCCCCACCCCCATGATAGTTTTAAAACATGAGTGTTGGTAAATGAATTTGAATGGACTTTCCTTACCCTATAGCCTTTACTATGTTACACACCTGTATGTATATTCCTAGCTCTGTTTTCTTAATTTCAGTCCCCGGGCTTTGCACATATAACTGGCCAGAGGAGTCTGACAAGCACAGAGGTCACGCGGATCCAGAGGGACACAGATTACCTCAAGTATGTAACATATTCTCTATCTGTCTTAGACAAATCCACCATAGTCCATGGTCCAAGCATGGTCCATGGAGCCTTAAAGTGAAGTATAACACTGGTTTTGCCCATCCCTGGTTTTTAAATTAAATTTGTTAGGATAAGCCTACTTGCCATGTATACCTGGCCTGGCACTTGCTATGCAGTCTAGGTTGGCCTCAAACTTGAAACAATTTTCTTGCCTCAGGCTCCTGAGTTTTGGTATTTTAGAGTTTTAAAACCATACAGTTTGGAAAAAGAGGCAGGGACTAGACAGATGACTGCGTAATTAATAGCACTAACTTCTCTTCCAGAGGACCTGAGTTTAATTCCCCACATGCATAAGATGCTCACAATTGTCTGTAACTCCAGTTCCAGGGGATCCAGCACCCTCTTCTGGCCTCTGTGATGATCATGGGCATGTATTGTAGGCAAAACATCCAAACACAGAAAATAAAATGTAGAAAAAAATTTAAAAAAGAAAAAGGGACCTAACTGATATACACTAAAATGTTTATCTGTAAAGAGTGTGATTGATACATATATATGACCTTCTTATCATGCCCCAGCCAGCCAACTGTTGATCTGGTTCTTCTTCCTCCTTCCCCTCTTCCTTGTTCTCTTCCTTCTTCTTACTCCCCCTCCTCCTTCTTCTTCTTTTTAGACAGGCTTTCTCTGTAGCTTTGGAGGCTGTCCTGGAACTCGATCAGTAGACCAGGCTGGCCTTGAACTCAAAGATCTGACTGTCTCTGCCTCCCAAGTGCTGAGATTAAAGGTGTGTGCCACCATTACCTGAATATATTTAATTCTTAGTTTGTCATATTTGTGAAAAACTTAAGCTTTTCACATGTGTCACATGCCTGTAATGCCAGTCTTAAGGGTTTTAGTAGGAGGATCACAAGTTCTGGGCTAACCTGGGCTAAATAGAAAGTTCCAGGTTATTCTGGAAAGCACAGTAAGACCATCTCTGCTTAGTCACAACATGGCAAACAAGAAGCAGAGAGTAAGTACATGGTCTGAACCAGGGAGGGGTATAACCTTCAAAGTCCATTCTCTGGTAACATGCTCCACCAGCCAGGCACCACAGCCTTCACATGACACACGAAAGGCTAAGCATTGTAAACTTGAGCCCGTGAGTGGCATTGCAGATTTAAATCATAGCATTTTACCCCTGACTCCAGAGCTCATGGCCATCTCAATGCAAAATGCAATTTGTTCAACTGTGAAAATCCATGGAGTCTTAAAAGTCTCCTTAAAACTGACATTGAATATGTAACTGTTTAAATGCTTATGTCCTGTTGCTGAGTTTACTCCTATGCCACTATGAAATAGCCTTCTTTAACCCTGATGACTTCCTCTGCTCAGACATCTTCTTGCTCTAATAATAAGTAACCACCCCTGCCTTCTTTTAACTAATATCTTTATGACATAGTGTATCTTATAATTTACTTTTGTTTCCCTACTTAAATTTGATTTCTTTTAGGCAAAATATAGTTAACTCTTACTTAAAATATTATATCAGACAACCTCTGCGTTCTAATGAAGGTATTTAGAAATACACACACACACACACACACACACACACTTCTCAAGAATTTCTCCTCCAACTTTCATGTTGTGTGAGTGCATGTGTGTGTATCTGAATTTAATTAAGATTGCTTGCATAAGCATGGGCTACTATTCAGTAGGTTTATTACTGATAAAAAAAAAGCTTCTCCAACAACCTTTTACTATGAGTAGTCCCTTGGGGGTGGGGGAGGGACAGGAGCTCATGCACCTCTCCCATCCATTCATTAGATATGTAAGAATGTTAGTGTAGATCCTTATACATAAATGGAAACCTGTTTTGTTGTAGGTGTACCCATTGTCTGGCTTCCCGTCCATCTGATCCCTTTGCTCGATTCTGTCATGAATGTGGCGCTCCTGTCCCACCTCTATATAGCTATCGTCTTCCACCCCCAGAAGGGGCTCAGGTAAGCTGCAAAATGTTTGAAAACATTTGTGTCTAGTTTTATGTGACCTGTGTAGGTAGCTGTGACAAGGGCCTGTCATACGAACCACAAACAAACATTCATTGAAAGAATTTGAGCACATTGATCCCTTGCTATCCAGACCCTTCCTGAGAGTAGGAACATGCTTCTAACAGGAATTCTTTGTGTGGCCTTGGAGACAGACTGAGAAACAGGCTGAAATCTTACTGTTTTAATGGGGACAAGGTTGGCCCAAAAGTGTGCTCATGTACCTCGAGCTGGTAAGGCATTGCTGATAAATGTATTGCTGATAAATGTTTGTGTGGGCTGGACCGAATATGAAACTTAAAACTGTGTTCAAGTTAGCCTAAGCTTTTATTTTTTTAATTATCCCCCCCCAATGGGGTTTCTGTGTGGATCCCTGGCTGTCTTTGAACTCACTCTATAGAGCAGGCTGGCCTTGAACTCGCAGGCCTGCCTCTGCCTCCTGAGTACTGAGATCAAAGGCATGTGCCACCACTGCCCAGCAGCTTTTACCTATATTGAGCTCCTTTTCATCTACACACGAAAGTAGAGATGTGTGACTGCCTGGGCACATTGAGAACTTATTGAGACGTTACAGTTAGATTAGCTGTTAAAATCCTGGGCACGATGCTGGGAGAATGACTCAGTCAGTAAAGCACTGCTTGACTTGTAAGCACAAAGGTTCAGTCCTCAACACTTAGCTCACTAGCCAGCCATGGGGCTACAGGCTTAGCATAATTGGTAAGCTGCAGACCAATGAGAAACCCCATCTCAAAGGAGATGGACAGCATTCCTGATGATGACACCTGAGGTTATCTTCTGACCTACACACACACACACACACACACACAAACCGGTACATACATGTGCACCTGCACGTACATGAATACACACACATTTTGATTTTTTTTGAGAATTTCATACCTGATCACTACTACACCTACATCACTTTCAACCCTCCCTATCCCAACAAACACAATTTCTTTTCAAAAGTTAAAATAAAAGCAAAACAATCTACTCAAAACAATAGTAACACACAAAGATCCTGGGCACTTCTCCTGTCTGTTGATGACTGTGAGCCCCTGCCATTGAGATTGTCATCTTAGCAATGTTCCAAATAAAGAAGGCCCCTGTACAGCAGCAGTCACAGAATTGGTACTGTTCCCAGCCCGCCTGGCCCTGGGGGAGCTGCTGCCCAGAGCAGAGAGGAGGAGAGCAGCCGATAAGAACCACCGTGCTCTTGTGCAAATAGGCATTTCCAGGAACTTTTCGGTTTGTTGCTCACCTTTGGCTTACAGCTCTCATTCTAGAGTAAACAGGTTTTCACTCTTAATGGCAATAAAGTAATAGGAAAGGTAATTATTTTAAGAGTTTGCAAAAGCAAACCCAATCTTATAAAGACCTTTCCCTCTGAGCAGATGGGCGTGTGTGCAGAATGTGGAAGTATGGTACCCATGAACACCCCCATCTGTGTGGTGTGTGAGGCTCCTCTTGCTCCACAGCTGCGGCCCCAGGCCAGTCTCCACTTGAAGGTAGGGAAACATGAATGAGATAACACAGAAGGTGATGTTTGAATCGTTGTGTCTTGTCTTCAGCTGGTGGAGTGGACTAATGACTGATAAACTAATGTCTCATGAACAAACCCATTCTAATTTTTAGAAAGGCATACTGATCCAAATATATAAACTTGCCAATAGGATCTATAAGGGAGATGCCTACACATATTCCCCTGAAAATGAATTTGGAGGGCAAATTGCAATACAGCTAATTTAGACAGTGTTTTGCGGTTTCTAAGTATTCAGACTGACAGTGGTTTCATGTTTTTGCGTGCTCACTCTGATGGTAGCTCCTATTTTGTAGAAGAAGCGGGGTTAGGACCAGTCACACCCTGGCATCTCCCTTGCAGCTTAAGCTTCACCATCCCAGCTGCATGCAGCGGCTCCTCGGGGCCTCTTTTAGGGAATCGGATCCTGCTACACAATGCCCGGCCTCAACAGCTTTCTGAAACTTCGATGCAAGCCTCCATGACCCCCTCAGCATTGCATCTTTCATGGCTGTGAAACCAGTACCTTGTGGATGGTGCTAGTAAATTCTGCTGCCAGCCCCAGATAAACCCTGGGCCACTTCTCCCACATGTCAGTCTCTATGCTCCTTGGTGGCTGCACCTGCAAAGCACTGACCTAAGCAGTTGTGGTAGTTCTTTTCAATCAAATTTGCATCTTACAAACTGGAGTCTTCTGCGGTACAGTCTGACCCCCTAGGCATTTTTCTGTTATTCCAGGGCAAAATGTGAGGTTTCTCCTTAAATATGCTAATCTTTTTAACAGGTACAGCCTGTTACCCGCCCTCCTCCATGTCCTCCATTTCCTCTGCCCCCTTTTCTCATTTTTTAGCTCTATCTAGTTCTATCATCTCCTCCATTTGTGTGTTGCATCTTGACTCTCAGACTGACTTGGGAAGCTGCATTAATATTTTCTTCTGACAGTCACTTCTTCCACTTTATCTAAGTCATAACTTACAAAACAAACCTAAATTCATAGTTAGCATAAAGTCTTGGGACCCAGCAGACTTGTAAATCCACAGATGAGCTTCTGCTGCTCTCAAGTCTTTCTCTTTACTGTACAGGCCATGAAGTAGAAAGCCTGTTGGCTGTTAGGTTTCCCACTTGGAGACGGGAACATAACCATCATAAAATTTCAAATTGTCTTCCTCAAACTAAATGAATACTGTCTTCAGTTTGCTT